GTGCAAATCATGCTTGCGATCACCAAGTGCTGTATGAAGTCTTGCTCTTGAGGGGGTTTTTACTTTTAACCACTGCCCAAATTATTCCTGCCTCTTTGCTTGTGGGAATTCTTTAGCCTTTATTTCCTTGATCACATTTCCCAAACAAGTCCTCACTTGCATAGGAGAACGGATTGTGGAAGATGATTTCTCTTCTATTGATGAAGGTAGCATATTTTGTACTTACTGTACAAAGCATGCTTTGAAGTAAACTTATTCTATGCTGATGCCTTAATAATTAACCTCAAATTCTACCACTTAGGCGGCGCAAGTCCACTAATTTTTTTTTTTTTCAAATATGCATCAAAATACTGCAAACTTCTCTTTGCTTCAGGTGTTCTTTCTTTCCATGGAAGGATCTTTGTTTTTTTTTTAAAATATGAATATGTTATCTCCTTGTCTTATAAAGACAATGTGAAGTTTATGAATGTTGAACTGATCATTGACATGTTTTCANTTCTCTTTCTTAGCGCTCCGCCCCCCTTGTATAGTAAGGGGAACTTTGGTTGCGCAGCTTTCTCTTATAGGGGTCTATTTTCTCTGACTTGACTCAGCTTGACCTACTTGAATCAGTGGCTAGAGTCTCGCTTTCATACGGTGAGAGTCATTGGTTCAAATCCAATTGTAGGTAAAATCGACCAAAACCCCTGTTTTTGCCAGCATGACAGCAAGCATGGACTGGCAGGAAGAAGTCAATTNGGTAAAACCGACCGAAACCCCTGCTTTTGCCAGCATGACAGCAAGCATGGACTGGCAGCAAGGAGTCAACTGAATGACCAAAGCATCGGTTGCTTCCACTTGTGGCCTTCTTCGACCGCCTTGACACCTTAATCTCAAGGAACCCCCCCTCTTCCACAAGTAGGTGGAGACCAGGAGGGCCGGAAAGCCCAACGGGAAACCTTTCACCGTGCCACACGATTCTTTCGCAAAGTGCTCTCTCAGACGTTTCCACTCCTGCCCCCGCAAGCCAAGAAGTTTCAAGATACCAAGCGACCAAGTGAAAGTGAACAGCTCCGAGCAACTCTTCTAGAAAGCGTACCTTNTTCCACTCCTGCCCCCGCAAGCCAAGAGGTTTCAAGATACCAGGCGACCAAGTGAAAGTGAACAGCTCCGAGCAACTCTTCTAGAGAGCGTACCCTTTGTTTCTACTCTTTCTCTCTTCTAAGAAGAACTCAAAATCTAAAAAGAAAAAAGAAGAGAATTTGATTCTATGGACCCTTTGGACCTCCGACCAATGAGGTGATGACACATGCATGCGTGCTTCTAAAGAGTGGGTTCCAAACCTGGGTGGCACTATATAACTCAATCCATTAGAAGGCTATTGGTGGATTATTTCTATTTTAGAATCAACTCTGAGATAGAGGAGACTTTAAGGATATTTTATCGAGATAAGGACTTGAAAAAAAAGTAGAATAGTCGCAGAAGTAAGGTCTCAGACTCACAACAGACAAGTGAAAAGTCTCTCGAGGTTTCGCCGCTTTGAAACAATAAGTTTCAAAATTTTGAAAAAATTTCGCGTGATTTTTCTCTAAAAACTCGGAAGGACCCAAGACCCCCCAACTAACCCCCTATAACCCCCCGGCCCCTATGCCAAAGCAGTTAAGTGCAAGAAGGTCAGTGAAGAGGAGCTTCCCAGGTAGCAAGCTAGTTAGGAGAGAAGTCACCTTTGGATTCTTAAGTAGGGGGCAGGGAGGAAAGCACGATAGGAGGCATGTCTCGAGCCTAGGTGACAGCGGAGAACTTTAGAGGTAGGCTAGAAAGGAAGGAAAGATAAAGAAAGGCTAGGAGCGATATAGGTGCCCAGACGGAAGTTANAGAAGTCACCTTTGGATTCTTAAGTAGGGGGCAGGGAGGAAAGCACGATAGGAGGCATGTCTCGAGCCTAGGTGACAGCGGAGAACTTTAGAGGTAGGCTAGAAAGGAAGGAAAGATAAAGAAAGGCTAGGAGCGATATAGGCGCCCAGACGGAAGTCAATTCGTCTTTCGTCCGTATTGTGTCCCATGCCAGGATGAAGAAATCCAAGGATTTATAGTCATGCTCATGGAAGTATTGACTAGTTTAATGCTCATACCAATATGGCAGAGCATTTGAACATTTTCATCACTATTGAAACTTGATTTCTTCGGTTTTAAGGGGGGCCTTGCCTTCTTAGAGAGATATAGCCACCATAGACTAGCTCGTCCGTAGGGCTATGATCAGGCCAGGATTTTCCATGCGGTCTAGAGATCTAGTTGACGCTTGGAAGGAGTACACTGATATCCTTGAGAGAGAGAACGTGGCCATCTTTTTTGCCTATAGCAGGGAAGGACTTTTTATACTTCCTGCCACAGTTGAGTAGGCCAGAAGCAAGAAAGACAGATCAGTTCNGCCCCTATGCCAAAGCAGTTAAGTGCAAGAAGGTCAGAGCAGAGGAGCTTCCCGGGTAGCAAGCTAGTTAGGAGAGAAGTCACCTTTGGATTCTTAAGTAGGGGGCAGGGAGGAAAGCACGATAGGAGGCATGTCTCGAGCCTAGGTGACAGCGGAGAACTTTAGAGGTAGGCTAGAAAGGAAGGAAAGATAAAGAAAGGCTAGGAGCGATATAGGCGCCCAGACGGAAGTCAATTCGTCTTTCGTCCGTATTGTGTCCCATGCCAGGATGAAGAAATCCAAGGATTTATAGTCATGCTCATGGAAGTATTGACTGGTTTAACGCTCATACCAATATGGCAGAGCATTTGAACATTTTCTTCACTATTGAAACTTGATTTCTTCGGTTTTAAGGGGGGCCTTGCCTTCTTAGAGAGATATAGCCACCATAGACTAGCTCGTCCGTAGGGCTATGATCAGGCCAGGATTTTCCATGCGGTCTAGAGATCTAGTTGACGCTTGGAAGGAGTACACTGATATCCTTGAGAGAGAGAACGTGGCCATCTTTTTTGCCTATAGCAGGGAAGGACTTTTTATACTTCCTGCCACAGTTGAGTAGGCCAGAAGCAAGAAAGACAGATCAGTTCGTTTGCAATAGATCTTGGAAGAAAAGGAAGAAGACCCCCATAGCACTCAAAGCGGAGGGGCTCTTCCTCAGAATGACGATGTGTGAGTTGCTTTTGTGAGGGGATAAAAGAGGGATGAAGAAAGTTTGAATTTTGAAAAAGGATTCTTTGTTTATGTCTTAGAAAATGATTTTTTGACAGGAGTAGACTCGGTAGTAGAAGACTCGTCTAAAAGAAAGGAGACAGAGGTTGTAGGAGGATCATCTGCTGCAGACAAAGCAGAACCCTCCTTAGAAGAGAAGACAATTCCTTCATCAATCACAAATGTTCCGAATGAAATGTTAGGTGGTATGAGTCAATCGTTCTATTTTTCATCTTCGTATAGAGACTTAGAATGAACTGAGTTATCTTTGTATGACTTAGACTAATTTGAGATACATGTTATTGAAGGTGATGTCAGCCGCGTGGAAACTGAATCAAGGTTAGGATTGGATGTCCCTGCTAGTGACATCCTTAAATGAATCCCAACTCTGACAAGAACATCCTTGAGTCCTTCCATGNATGTCCCTGCTGGTGACATCCTTAAATGAATCCCAACTCTGACAGGAACATCCTTGAGTCCTTCCAAGTTCTTTGCTGGTGTGCAGGATGAAGAACAAGGCCAGGCTCAAGCGAGAAATAAGGCAGAAAGAAAAAGAAAGAACCCAGACGAAGGGGCTTCGTCAGATGAAGACGGTGATGCGCCTTTGTTCCACACAGGCTCAAATGTATAAGTTATTCACATGTCACCACATTCAAAATACCGTTCGCATCCTATCACAATTTGTAGAAAAAGAGATGAACTATTCACATTCACCAAAAAAATGACTTAAGCACATTAATTTGTGCTTGACAACGCTCTTCTGCTAGTCAATTTAACGAAGCCTTTTCCTCATTTTCATCTTAGTAATCACCTTCTTCTTATTTTCTAAGACGTTCAGACGAGTTTGGATGGTAGACATCTTCTCTTTGGCTCTCTGAATACCTTCGTCAACCCTGCGAAGCTCTCCCTCAACATCATGAAGTTTTTTTTATGCAGGTGAAAGTAGGGGGTCCATTGCTCCTCCCGTCTTTTCCGGCAAATGCTATGTTCAACTATGCCCACCCACCTCGACAAGCCCGGAACTCCAGTCAATAAATGAACGGAGGGATGAACTGGATTTGAATACAAGAGAAGTGAAACCTCCTGCCATAAGGAAGGGGAGATCCGTAGTAAGAGCTCCCTCTCCACCTGCTTTCGGCACCTTGCTATTCTTTCAGGAAAACTCCTAAAGTTACGTCTTTCAGTACTGGGACTCAAGTCAAGTAGTTGAGATAAGCTGTTTGCTTTTTGTCAGGTGCCCTTAATGAAGTTCCTTTTGTCCTATAGATTCGTTCTAAAGGTCAGTGGTTCAAGTCAATAAGCGAGGAGGCCCTTCTCACTCAAGCTCAAGCATTTACTTTTCTAGTTAGAGACCAACGTCTTGGGGCTAACGTGGGATCCGCTCAAGGACCTACCGGTTTAGGTAAATATTTAATGCGTTCCCCCACCGGAGAAGTCATTTTTGGAGGAGAAACTATGCGTTTTTCAAAAAAGGTCAGAAGAAATGCCCCTATTAGTAAAGGTTTCAAATATATATATTTATATATTACTGGCTGGCTGTTNTATTAGTTTAGTAAAGGTTTCAAATATATATATTTATATATTACCGGCTGGCTGCTTTTTATGCAAAAAAGACAAAACTGGATTGGATTTCCACTCATAAGGAAGGAAGGTTAGATATCTTTGACAGGGTTGTATTTTTGGTGAAAATAGGATGGTGTTCAAACTCCCGAAATGCAGTCTAGACAGCGGGCCCTCTCATTTCTGACTGGACTGACTCAGGGAAGGGTCAATCTCCTCCGGAGCATGCTTCACAACCATTCATTTGTCCTGACCAAATAGTAGAATCTATCTCTCAGCGATTCTTTTCTCCGCTAATCACCCCTTCCCAACTAGCCCGCCCGATCGATCTTGTAAGATCGACTAATTCAAAGGGCTTAATCTGGTCTGAAGTTATCGGAACAAATCGTTTGCTTTATCAAAAAAATCTTTCTTAGGGGGTCTTGGTTGGCCCCCTATTTTCAACCATTACAGTTGGCGTCGACCAACTTTGCGCGATACGGACGAGCACGAATAAGAGCACAGGCAGCGAANTTTTCAACCATTACAGCTGGCGTCGACCAGCTTTGCGCGATACGGACGGGCACGAATAAGAGCGCAGGCAGCGGAAATGCAAAAGAGAAGAGCAAAGATTCCCGACCCAGAGCATGTTATTGACTCAACCACAAATCTGTTGAATGAAGGTAGCTTGCTTACTCTCAACCACTAGTTAGAAGGAAATCCCTTGACTTCGCTTATGCCCTTATCTTATGCAGTAAAGAAAGAAAGTGAGGCGAGCTAAGATTCCATTCGAAGCAACGTAACAAGATTCGATCTTGCACCATCTTCAACTCTTCTCGGGATTCAAANAAAGAAAGCAAGTGAGGCGGGCTAAGATTCCATTCGAAGTAACGTAACAGGATTCGATCTTGCACCATCTTCAACTCTTCTCGGGATCCGGAGTTTTTCGAGAAAAGGTCCCATCCTTCAATATCATGATTGGGTCGACCAGGCCAGATCATGAGTGAAATATCATGATCGGGTCGACCAGGCCAGATCATGAGTGAATAGAAAATCGAAAATGTATATAGCTGTTCCAGCTGAAATACTTGGAATAATTCTACCACTTCTACTAGGAGTAGCCTTTTTAGTGCTAGCTGAATGTAAAGTAATGGCTTTTGTGCAACGTCGAAAGGGTCCTGATGTAGTGGGATCGTTTGGATTGTTACAACCTCTAGCAGATGGTTTGAAATTGATTCTAAAAGAACCTATTTCACCAAGTAGTGCTAATTTCTCCCTTTTTAGAATGGCTCCAGTGGCTACATTTATGTTAAGTCTGGTCGCTCATGTCGTTGTACCTTTTGATTATGGTATGGTATTGTCAGATCCGAACATAGGGCTACTTTATTTGTTTGCCATATCTTCGCTAGGTGTTTATGGAATTATTATAGCAGGTCGGTCTAGTAATTAGGGGGTGACCGTTCGGTCACCTATGATACTAGGACCAATAGGTAAAAAATGGGTTTGTGCCACAAGTGTTGAACGATCTACTCTACACAGGTGTGGGCTTACAGGTCTAGTGGCTCAAAAACCCTTTCTTTTANCCGTTCGGTCGCCTATGATACTAGGACCAATAGGTCAAAAATGGGTTTGTGCCACAGGTGTTGAACGATCTACTCTACACAGGTGTGGGCTTACAGGGCTAGGGCTCAAAAACCCTTTCTTTCATTCATCAATAGGACCCTGGTCGGTCACTTTTCTGGGCCGGGATCAATAAGTGGAAGTCATAAAAAAGAGATCTTTCTCTTCGCACCTCAGATCAAGAGGAAGGGTAGCTTGTCAAGCTGGCCTAGAATATTGATATCTTTCTACGATTATTATATGTAATAATAATCATAGAAAGATATCAATCAAAAGATTCGCTGTCTTTTAACCAGCTATTCTTCTTTGTCAATGCTACTAAGGATCTATAGGTTCGCCTACTTCACTTATGAAAGATAATGAGAATGGGTTATTCAAAAAGGAAAAGGCGCTACTTAGCCCTATATTAGTAGAAGTAAGCGGCTGAGTTAGCCTACTATACCCTACTAATGTGTTGTATAGTAGGGTATAGTAGGTGAACGAGTTAGCGAAGAGGCTTAGGCTAATAGAAAAGAGAGCGTCGGTGCGTAGCCTTCATTCTACTACAAAAAGGTTACGAAGTCGCTTAGCTCGACGTTAGGAGAGTCAAGGGGGAACGCCATACCTACATAGAAGACCTGCTGTTCGCTGACTTTCTAAGGTCTAACCTTTCGTTCCCCTACTGAAAAGGGACAAAGCCGCTTTGCACCACTGATAGACTACTTAAGATTCCATTCAAAAGGCCCCACTTAGTTTCGCAAGCCTTTGTCATTGTCAGTCAACTAAGTAGGGCCTGAGGCCCCCTGCGAATCCGTAAATCTGAGGAGCATGCCGCAACAAAAGGATGGTCCCCTATGCATTTCATTCTTTTCGGAAGGGAAATCAAAAGTACCCCCCATCATAATGAACCTCTCCTTGTGATCGGGATGAGGTAGATGCCTCCCAGCCAGGGGGCAGATTGNATGGTCCCCTATGCATTTCATTCTTTCCGGAAGGGAAATCAAAAGTACCCCCCATCATAGTGAACCTCTCCTTGTGATCGGGATGAGGTAGATGCCTCCCAGCCAGGGGGCGGATCGAATCGGAGTTTCCTTAGGTAGCCACCGACCTACAGTTATCCTTAAACTTCCGTGCTTGGTGGAGAAGAAGCGAACAAAGGTACGCTCGCTTGCTGTCTTATTCTCTGTCGCGAACTGGGATCGCTCGCTAGCTAGGTCAGATTGGAGCAAGATTGTATGAGAAAATATTACCCATTTTCGGGGACAAGGGGCGGAACGACCTCTCGATCTACTTACTGCAGCCCAGGAAGAAAAATGTCATCTAGGCGTTCCCTGTTGCTCCGATCTCCCCTACGCCTAGGACGTTGTCTAGACCAAGAGCCATAGTTAGTTGTTGTTTCCATTTTGTTATTTTTTTCTCGTTGTTGATACCGGCAAGACCCAGCCAGATGATGTCTGCTGGTTGGTAATGAGAGGACTCTTAGTACCTGCATACCCAAAAGGGGGCGCTGGTTAAAAAGCAATCATTTGATTTAGTTTCTTGCTCTCCCTTAGCAGCGGGAAAGGAGTCTATCTATCTGCCTAGCTTTGGTAGATTTCCCCCAATGCAATCCACAGAAATTCCACGAATCCCTTGGTGGATAAGTCTGACGACTTAGCAGCAGTGCGAAATTGAGTTTCTTGTCTAGTGGATCTGATCTATAGTTAGGGGGCAATACATACCAAAAGGTTCAAAGAAGGAACGCACATAAGAATATATAACCAACCCACCCTTCTGTATAACCTATTCACATTAGTGAAGCGGCTGGATGCATAAGGGAAGTGCACGTTTGTGAGACCTTAGTCGGGATGCATAGGGGAGTCAACCTACGAGCACGGAAGAGCGTGGTACCGCTACCCCTCTCTAAGTAAAGGTCAGATTCTTAGCCCTTAAACAGATAGGTGATGACTCCATCTAAAATAAATAAAAGAGGGATAGCCGTTTCTGGCTGCAAGTTGAGTAGAACCCATATTATCATCATAAAAGGTAATAGGAGAAGAAGGAGCTATGCCAAGATCATGAATAAGATATGATATCTATAGAAGGTCAGAGGTAGCAGAAGAAAGAGCCAACTATTCTGTCTCGGTACTATACTGAGAAAGAGTCACTTGCTTTTTCCTTGACCACGAAATAGGATAAGCTCCAAGGAATATGCAATGGCTCATAGTGGAGCGTCTTCTATCAGGACACCCAGCCCAGTCGGAATCAACATAACCTGCTAAAGTAGAGGATGATGTCAAAATAAAGGAGATGCCAAAGTCGATCGTAGCCTTAAGATAGCGCAAAATACGTTTAACAGCTTGAAGATGAGTATCACGAGGTGAGTGCATGAACTGACAAACTTGTTGTACTGCATACATGATATCAGGGCGAGTGAATGTAAGGTATTGCAAAGCATGTACGAGGAAATTTTTTTTAAAAAACTCAGTTTGCAAAGCTTGCCAATTTGTGATAGAATTAGCTCGTAAGGGGTTAAGACACTATTTAACTTTATCTTTTAAAGAAAAAGGAACAAATTTTAATCTGACCATTTCAGAATTATCTTGCAAAGTCTACAGACTTCTTCAAATTCTTTCATATGAACATAAGGATTTTCAGTTTCTAAACCATGGAACTGTGGTAATAACTATATTGTGTATAGCTTAATATTAAGATTTGGAGCATCTGTTCAAAAAGCAAAACATGACGGGACATTAGTTCGTGTAGGATGTAAATATTCTCTTAATGGTCGGACATTTTGAACTACTTCCTTCTCTCTAGGATCTTGTTCCCCAGGTACATTTTGAGCCATACGTAATTCAAATGACGCTTGTGTATATGAAGATGATGAAGACGAAGGAGGCTACTGATTTACAGAACCTACTTATGAATGAATGGACATAAAATATTTTAAAAATAAAACAAACAATTTATAAACATATAATACAAGTACACAACTTTACTATTTTATTTAATTTCAAATTACTGTAACTCCCTTACAACGGAGCCAAAAACATGATTCACTACGTATTTTGTGATATGATTTATATTACACACTCAAGTATAAGTGGTTGAATTGTAATTTTGTTGGTTTAAGTCCAAGATCGATCCCAGGAAGAGTTTTTAATCATTAGAATTTAAAATAAGAATAGTGAAGTTATTGTTAAAGTAGTGTAACATAAGATAGCTTCTAATGTGAGCTTAGATTGATAACTACTCTAAGTAATCTAAATATATAAGTAAATTGGTTGAAGACAATAATATTAAAGGTACCCTTCAGTTTAAGGATCCCATATGCATTATATTGGTTAAGTACTGGAAATGCCACCTTGCAGCAACTAACTTTCAAGTCACTAGTAAGTCAACCGGTAGGTCTGATGTATATAAACCATAACACAACAACTTCTTAGGTTAACTGGTGGTATTATTTAGATCATAACTTAGCAACTTCTTAGGTTAGCTGGTTATATATATATGAAAATTGACTAATTCAAGTAAACTAGAAGGTCAAACCATTCATGAGGATCACTTAAATTACTCAATTGGCAATTTATAGTATGTATCAGTTAAACAACCCTAATAATCCAGAAGTTCAAGCCATTCATCAGGATCATTTATGTAAAACCCGAAAAAATTTGAACTTTTTTTGACAAAGGGTAAAATAGTAATTTGTCACTATTATGCAGATTTAAAATGAATATTTTATAGAGCCCGGATGGAACAACAGACTTCACCATTGAATTCGCGTTGCAAAATCTAGCTGCTTTGTCAATTTTCATCGAATTCTGATATAGTCAAATTTTTCACGTTTCTCGAGGCGACGGGCGTCTGATGACCCCAAAAAACAAAATTTTTATAAACATTTTGAAAGTTAAAAAATATTTTTAAATATAGTTCATATAAAATATTTTGAGCTTAAACCNGAATTTTTCACGTTTCTCGAGGCGACGGGCGTCTGATGACCCCAAAAAACAAAATTTTTATAAAAATTTTGAAAGTTAAAAAATATTTTTAAATATAGTTCATATAAAATATTTTGAGCTTAAACCAGTATAAAATTTAATTGTTTCGGGGTAAAACAGACCCGGACAAAGGGAGACACGTGGCGCGACTCGGGCCAAGCCTTGGAAAAGTATAAATAGGGTGAAATATCTGAAAAATCAGATATTTCCTACCCATTTGCTTGCTGGTTTCAGACGTTGGAGGAAGAGAAGAGAAAAAGAGAGTTTTCAAGTTTTCTTCTGCCGATTCTTGGAGTTCCGTCGGTCAGAATTCGTCGGGCCAATAATTAAAGTCGATCTACGCGACAAGGGCTACGCATGGGTACCAAAAAAAATGATTTTCACCAAAGATTCAAAGGTAAATTTTTGAAAAATCAAGAACTTGGGGCTTGTTTTGATGTTTTTGAAGTCTTCACACTTCAAAGAGGTAGGGGTTTTCCTACCTATAGTGTATGTGAAATGTGTAGGTTATTAAAGAGTATATATATATATCACTCACCTATGCATGTGAAAATAGATAAAATGAGAATGAAAAAGGGTGTAGAAATGGCTTAGGTCAATTTCTAGTTGTATGTGATATATGGAAATCACTTGTGAAATCCCTTGAAAATTGAATGTGTTAGTAGCATGAGCTATGTATAACATGTGTGTTGTGAATTGTGATTAAATAGCAAATTTTATTTTATGCCTTGAGGAAGTAGGTGTAGAATGGGTTTGATTCAAGTCCTACTTTGTTTTGCTATGTGGAAGTACTTGTATAATTTCTTGGATGGAAATTATGTGTGCTTTAATATGTAGAAAAGTGGGTGTGTTTAACTCATACATCAGTGTGTGTGTGTTTGTTCTTGCTTGTTGGAAACCTAAAGTGAGGGAGATTAAAAGAGAAGGAAGAAAAACCAAGTTTTAGCTCACATTTGATATGTGGAAGCTATTAGTATAAACTCTTGGAAAATTGGGTTTACATGGATTGTTTTGTGTATTTTAAAATTTTCCTACCATAGTTGGTTGGATGGAAAAATGGTAGGCATATGGAACTATGTAATTCACTTGCCTATGGTTATGGAGTTGGTGTAAAAAGGATATAATCAATTTCTAGTTTGAAATTGATGGTTTAGTTAAAAAGGGGTATTGAGGATGGTTGGGATGACTTGAAATAAATTATTTTGTTGAATGCACCATTAGTGTATGTTAAATGTGGGAAAAGGGTGCCTAAATGTGCTAAATAAATATTGTAAGAAAGGATTTGCAATGGATATAGAAATTGGGTGAAGAAAAGCCGGTACACTTTTCTGCTCCGGACCAATTCTCGTAGAATCGTCATCACTTTTGATCCAACCGTTGGATTGAGCTAAAATGTTGACACAATACAGAAGACATCTAGATCTACAACTTTTGTGTTTTGAACTTTTCCAGATTCTGAGTGGATCATGGTCAAAATGGAGACAAACAGAGGTATTTCCACAAGAGGGAGCTAGTGCTGGTACCTTTGTTACCAAACACCAATACCTCTTTGATGTCTTAACTTCCTCCAAATCCTCATGTAATGTGGCCATACCTTCACCAAAGTGAGTGTGTTTAACTCATAAATCAGTGTGTGTGTGTGTGTGTGTTCTTGCTTGTTGGAAACCTAAAGTGAGGGAGATTAAAAGAGAAGGAAGAAAAACCAAGTTTTAGCTCACATGTGATATGTGGAAGCTATTAGTGTAAACTCTTGAAAAATTGGGTTTACATGGATTGTTTTGTGTATTTTAAAATTTTCCAACCATAGTTGGTTGGATGAAAAATGTTTCTATGGAACTATGTAATTCACTTGCCTATGGTTATGGAGTTGGTGTAGAAAGGATATAATCAATTTCTAGTTTGAAATTGATGGTTTAGTTAAAAATGGGTATTGAGGATGGTTGGGATGACTTGAGATAAATTATCTTATTGAATGCATCATTAGTGTATGTTAAGTGTGGAAAAAATGGTCCCTAAATGTGCTAAATAAATCTTGTAAGAAAGGATTTGCAATGGATATAGAAATTGGGTGAAGAAAAGCCGGTACACTTTTCTGCTCCAGACCAATTCTCGTAGAATCGTCATCACTTTTGATCCAACCGTTGGATTGAGCTAAAATGTTGACACAATACGGAAGACATCTAGATCTACAACGTTTGTGTTTTGAACATTTCCAGATTCGGAGTGGATCACGGCCAAAATGGAGAAAGACAGAGGTATTTCCACAAGAGGGAGCTAGTGCTGGTACCTTTGTTACCAAACACCAATACCTCTTTGATGTCTTAACTTCCTCCAAATCCTCATGTAATGTGGCCATACCTTCACCAAAGTGAGTGTGTTTAACTCATAAATCAGTGTGTGTGTGTGTGTGTTCTTGCTTGTTGGAAACCTAAAGTGAGGGAGATTAAAAGAGAAGGAAGAAAAATCAAGTTTTAGCTCACATTTGATATGTGGAAGCTATTAGTGTAAACTC